CCCCCCCCGCAGCGGCGGGCCACCGAGGGCGACTCCCCGCCCAACGCCAACATTCGCTACCGCTTCGTCAATGAGCGTGCCGCCCATGCCGTCTTTGAGATCGACCCCCGCTCCGGCCTGATCACCACCAGCGGGCCGGTGGACAGGGAGAAGATGGAGAGGTACTCCTTGGTGGTGGAGGCTAACGACCAGGGGAGGGAGCCGGGGCCCCGCTCCGCCACAGTCAAGGTTTACATCACAGTCCTTGATGAGAATGACAACACCCCTCAGTTTAGTGAGAAGCGCTACATCGTCCAGGTGAGGGAGGACATACGGCCCCACACAGAGATCCTGCGCGTCACCGCCACAGATCTTGACAAGGACAACAACGCGCTGGTCCACTACAACATCATCAGTGGGAACAGCCGGGGCCAGTTCTCCATCGACAGCGTCACTGGGGAGATACAGGTGGTGGCCCCGCTGGATTTTGAGGTGGAGCGGGAGTACGCCCTGAGGATCCGGGCTCAGGATGCGGGACGCCCTCCCCTCTCTAACAACACCGGCATGGCCAGCATCCAGGTGGTGGACATCAACGACCATGCCCCCATCTTTGTCAGCACCCCTTTCCAAATCTCTGTCCTGGAGAACGCTCCCCTCGGCCACTCTGTCATCCACATCCAGGCCGTGGATGCAGACTATGGCGAGAATTCGCGCCTGGAGTACAAACTGACAGGGGTCTCGGCTGACACACCCTTCGTGGTGAACAGTGCCACGGGGTGGATCACAGTCAGTGGGCCCTTGGACCGGGAGTCGGTCGAGCACTATTTTTTTGGGGTAGAGGCTCGGGACCATGGCTCTCCATCTTTATCCGCCTCCGCCAGCGTCACCATTACTGTCATGGATGTCAATGACAACCGTCCCGAGTTTACCCAGAAGGAGTACTTCATCCGCCTGAATGAGGACGCAGCCGTGGGTACCAGCGTCCTCAGCGTCACGGCAATTGACCGGGATGTGAACAGTGCCATCACCTACCAGATCACGGGAGGCAACACGCGGAACCGCTTTTCCATCAGCACGCAAGGTGGGATGGGGCTCATCACTCTGTCTCTGCCACTGGACTACAAGCAGGAGAGGCGCTACGTGCTTACCGTGACAGCCTCCGACCGCACCCTGCGTGACAACTGCCACGTTCACATCAACATCACTGATGCCAACACGCACCGGCCAGTGTTCCAGAGCGCCCACTACTCCGTGAGCATCAACGAGGACCGGCCTGTGGGCAGCACCGTGGTGGTGATCAGCGCCACAGATGATGACGTGGGAGAAAATGCACGCATCACGTACTACCTAGAAGACAATGTCCCTCAGTTTCGCATTGATCCAGACTCCGGGGCCATCACTCTCCAGGCAGAACTGGACTATGAGGACCAGGTCACCTACACGTTGGCTATCACTGCTAAGGACAACGGGATCCCCCAGAAAGCAGACACCACCTATGTTGAAATCATGGTGAATGACGTTAATGACAATGCCCCACAGTTTGTCAGCCCTCATTACCAGGGCATGATCTCTGAGGATGCACCTCCCTTCACCAGCGTGCTTCAGATCTCTGCCACTGACCGGGATGCCCACACCAATGGGCGAGTGCAGTACACCTTCCAGAACGGGGAGGATGGGGATGGAGACTTCACCATAGAGCCCACCTCGGGGATCATTCGCACTGTCCGCAGGCTGGACCGTGAGAATGTTCCTGTCTATGAGCTGACTGCATATGCTGTGGACAGGGGCATCCCTCCTCAGCGAACTCCTGTCCATATCCAGGTTACCATTCAGGATGTGAACGACAATGCCCCTGTCTTTCCCGCTGAAGAGTTTGAGGTTCTGGTGAAGGAGAACAGCATCGTAGGCTCTGTTGTGGCCCAAATCACAGCCGTTGACCCAGATGAGGGACCCAATGCCCAGATCATGTACCAAATTGTGGAAGGCAACATCCCCGAGATATTCCAGATGGACATCTTTTCTGGGGAGCTCACAGCCTTGATAGACCTGGATTATGAGACAAAACCTGAGTATGTGATTGTAGTGCAGGCCACCTCTGCCCCTCTGGTCAGCAGAGCCACGGTCCACATCAAACTCATTGACCAGAATGACAACAGCCCTGTTCTCAAGAACTTCCAGATCCTGTTCAATAACTACGTGTCCAATAAGTCCAACACCTTCCCCTCGGGGGTCATAGGGAAGGTCCCAGCTTACGACCCAGATGTGTCCGACCGCCTCTTCTACACCTTTGAGCGAGGAAATGAACTGCACTTGTTGATTGTGAATCAATCGAGTGGGGAGCTGAGGCTGAGCCGTAAGCTGGACAACAACCGTCCGCTTGTGGCCTCCATGCTGGTGACCGTCACAGGTAGGGTGTGGAAATCATTAAACCTTTGGGGGGCTCTGTGTGGTCCCCCGGGGGGGAGCCCATTCTGCATCAGGGGGGCGGGTTGGGGACTGGCAACAAGATTTGGATTGGGGGTCCCTTCCAATTGGGGAATATTGGAGGGGCTGGGAAGGGTGGCAGTGGGGGATGCTGCAGGGGAACGCTCTGTAAGGGGGCTGAGGCCAGAGGTGGTCTGCAAGAACAAAGCATCGTTACTCAGCTGTGAGGATCGCTGGTAGCTGCTAGTGAGATACCTTTGGAGGTGCTGTCACCAGCCAGGCTGTGATACGCACTGTGGGGCGCTGGCCGGGCAAGCGGCTGGGTTCCCCGGGGGGCCAAAGCCACTGGCCCTGGGGGCTGGCATGCTGCTTCGCTCCCAAGCCTGGGTGGCTCTTCTCCCTGCCAGGACTGAGTGCTTCCCCGGCTGCACTCAGGAGGGAGGGATCGAACTCGGCACAGAGGGAGACCTCTTAAAAAAAAAAAAATAAAAAAATACCCGTCTGCTGGTAGCAAACGGTTCAGTCTGGGTTCTGGCTGTGGCACCTACCGACACCTGTGCTTTCTACTGCAGCTTCTAAAACCTGGTACCACCTTTCTGCAGCCAATTTACTGTTGCAGGGGACAGCTGTGACAAACCTCGGAGCGTGGTGCTTAAAACTCTCGCATCATGTGTGTTGCTGGAGTATCCAAGTGCAGATGCTAGCAGTAGCTGCCGGGGTGGCTTTGGGGAGTGTTGGGGTCCCCTCCAGCCCAGCCCGGGGCAGGGCAAAGATGGAACTAGGGGCTTGTCTGTGAGCAAGCAGGGTTTGGACCTGGAGCTTCCCACTGCCTGAGCTTTGCCTTCACCATCAGCCTTTCTTTGCTCGCGGATGCATGATCTGAAATGGAGGCATCTGTCCATCGCTGAACCGAGGGGCGGCTGTGGGGGAGGGAGGGCAAGAGCCTTCTTTGGAGGGGCCAAGTGCCAAAGTACTGAGAGTGCCTGGGGAGCTGTACGTTAAATCATGATGCTCCCCTGACCCTTGGCCACCAGCCGCCCTCCCTTTTCACCCTCTCTCTATCCAGCTTATTCAGCAAGGGGAAGATTTCTTTCAAAAGATGGAGTGGGGGCTTTAAGACGAGACCTGTTCAAGGCAATCCTGCATGGCCAGCACCAGCCCGTTGGTGGACTGGGGCTCTTTGGGGGTTAATTGTAACCACGGGGCTGGCTGAGAGGGGGTGCAGGCGCACACATTCCCATCGATGGAGATGGGGGGTGGTTTTGACCTTTCCAGCTTCTGCCTGAGTGTGTTTATGCAAGCCCTGCCTCTTCGCACACTTAACCCTGCACAAAGGCAGGAGACAATCACATCCCGAAGTCCTGCGTCGTCAAGCCGCCTTGTGGCGAGGGGGCCCTTGCAATTAGAGTGTCGTCATCTTCCAGCGGGAAGGGAGACTGGGAGAGGTGCACTTGCAAAGAAGGGGAGAAGATGGAAGGGGAAGAGCTTTACCGGGGAGGAAAGCAAGACACTGGAAAATGGGCCTTTTGTTGGCTTTGATATTAGCTATGGAGGTGGAGGTCTGGTTTGGTTTTTCCTTCTTTATTGTTCAAACCCCCCCCCCCCCCCGCCCAGCTGGCAGCCCTGTCAGCCCCATGCTGTCGCTGTGTGCAGGGGGAGGGTGGGTTTGCAGAGCTGGCGGCCAGGATGTTCAGACCCGGCTGCATTGTTTGCCCAGGCGCAGTGCAGCGCCGTGCAGAGCACCTTCCTGCTGCAGGAAGGCAACAATAGCACCTAGGTGGGTGCCCTGAGGGTCAGCATCCAAGGAGCGGGCGGCTTCCCTGCCTGCCTGTGAGCTTAATGGTCCCTTCGGGGGGAGGCTGCCCCTAAATCACAGGGCAAGGGGCCTTTCTGCCTGCCTGTGAGCTGTGTGTGTTCTCAGCTCAGCCCCTTGGAGGAGACAGGGAAGACTTGGGCCATCACAAACCAGTGCTTTTTCTGGGGGACTGACAGCCTCAAAACTGACCCCAACTCTTTGCAGATGCGTGAGCACCTATGGCTTCTAAAAATGTCTCTTGGCCTCCAAGGGCACCAGACAGCGAGGTGGTGGGGCTGCGTCCGTGGCCAGCAGCACAGTGTGAGATTGGGGCATTGTAGGGGGGCTGACGTTGTGTTGACTTTAAAGCATTTCAGACTGGTTTCACTGGACCATGCTGCTGGGCTGGTGGTAAAGGTGGAGGCTCAGCTGCGCTCAGCTATGGCTGCTGTGTTGCCACTGTTCCTCTCAAGCTCTTTGTACACATCTCACTTCATCCTGCAGCCCAGGAGCTTGCTCTGGTGAGGGGACCCATTTGTCCAAGGTGTCTGACCTAAAATCCCAGCCTGTTGGGGAAGACCCCCCTAGAGCACATTTGTCCTGACTCTTATGTCTGAACACATCAGAGCCATCTTTTCAAGCCGGGTAAGGGTCCCAGGGCTGCCCTGGCCTGTCACAACTTGCATGCCTCTCCTCTCTTGAAGAGCCCACTCTCCAGAGCTTCCTCCCCTGTTAAGTCCATCACAGCTGGATGTGCTGGCCGCAAAGTTAGGGTGCAAGACTTAAGGATTTCTGTTCCTGGTTAGGGAACAGTTTTGGAGTCGTCTTGGTTATGATGTTTTAGTCTCTGTCTTTAGAGCTACTGTGAGAGTGACATTCATACTCTGTGCTGGGTGAGGGGAATCTGATTTACTTCCAAGATCTCATAACTTGTCAAGTATCATCAAAATCTTGAGAGGTCTGCCAAAGCCCTTCAGAAGTGATGAGGAATGTTCACCTTACCCATACCTGTCTCCTTTCCTGGCTTCTCTGTCTGGAGGTGTTTTACTGCTCCTCAGCTGCAAATGTGAAAGCTACCCCTGTCTGTCCCCAGGCCACCCTTGCTGTCTCTGGGGTGGCTGCTCGGGGTGTTGCAGTCAGAGTGGTGGGTTTTGCTCGCTCGGACGCTGCCTCTGCCACTCAGAAGAGGAGAGATGGTGATGCATCAGAGCCTGTTTCTGAGCTCCTGGTCCCCCCCAAGTGAAGGACAGGGGTGCATGCCCTCCTGGGTCAGGGGGCCCATTTGAGCTGAGCTGCCTTCTTCCCAATCCCTGGAGCTCCCTGGGAGGTTGAAGGACAGAATGTTTGCTGTAGGGGAAGGGGAACCTCTGCTAGCGACTTCAAGGCTCTTGGGGTGGAAGTGTTGGTTGGAGCCCATGCCTCGTGCTGCACGGCGGGCTGGAGTGCTGCTCAGGGATCTGGAGAGCCTCTGGCAGCATAGGGGGACAGGAGAGATGGGCTCTCGTCCTGGCAGCCCCAGGAGACTGTTGGGCAGTGGTTGGCAGCCCTGCTCCACCCAAGAGGTTTCCAGTGGAGGCCTGGAGCTCCATTCCCAGGCTGACAGCGCAGTCCCTGCTGGGGTAGCCTGCTGCCCATGCCACTGTCCGGCTGGAGCTCTTCTTTCTGTAGCTTTGCTGCTTTTGAAGCTGGTAACTGTCAGTCTTGGAAGTGCAAACATAATGACCTGGTGCTGCCCAGCATAGGGGTTAGAGCCCCTCGAGTCCCTTCTCCCTGCTCCTTTCCCTGTAGGCGTGTTTCCAGGGCTTCTCACTCCACTACATGAATATTCACCAGGCACCAGCTCTCCAGCCACAGGATTTAATCAGAAAGGCTGAGCATTTGTGATTAAAATGCCTCCCAGGGGGGTCAGTGCCTCCAGCCAGCTTTGGGCTTTTTTTTGGTAGCTTTTTTTTTTTTCTTCCCTATTTACAGTGGGTCATTCTCTTAACCATCTGCTTCCCCTTGCACAGAGCCGAGGCAGGGAGGTAGCCCTGGGTGTGATGCTGAGGTGGGACCGGGTGTTATCGGAGAGCTTGCCAACAAGGGCTGAGGGGCCAGGGCTGGCTTTGCATTGCTGTGGGGAACTGGCAAAGGGGCACTGGGGCTTTCCTCCTGTGGGCTGGGCAATGCCAAAGGTGTTGGGCACCCCGCAGCCCACCTTCTTCCCCAGCCATGGCTTCCTTGCTCCCGGGAGGTGTTGCTGGCCTCCAGCCTGCCCCAGGGACTCAGCATCGCATCAGCCGAGGCCTAATAACAGCCATAAATCAGGCGGATGCCTGCCTGCCTGTTGCTGGGCACTGAGCAGCCCTTGGGGGGAGCGAGAGCTGTCCCCCGGGCCTCGCGGCTGCTTCTGGGTGAGCCACGAGCTGGAGAGAGGAGAGCGGGAGGCAGCTGGGCTTGAACCGAGCTCCTACTCGCCTTGGCCAGAGAGGCAAACTGCGAGGAGGGGACAAGGGGAGAGGAGAAGGAGTGGGGACACTGTGTGATGGTGGGCTGGGGCCACCCT